ATATATATATATATATATATATATATATATATATATATATATATATATATATATATATATATATATATATATATATATATATATATATATATATATATATATATATATATATATATATATATATATATATATATATATATATATATATATATATATATATATATATATATATATATATATATATATATGGAAATGGAGCGTCTGGTTTTGCTTAGTGAGAGAGATCCGCCGATTGATAAAATCTATGCCCAAACGCCGATCAATTATCCGGCAATTCACTCCCCTTCCTCGCTAAATCGACAGATTCAGACATTTCCTGGAGATACGTTGCTCAGAGAGTGGGATTTTCGATCTGGTGCTGCACTTGTAAAGGCAAAATCATATGTTGACACTCTTAAGGGTTACTCGGACGTCGCTCATCCACCGTCTTCTTCCCGGGAGACTATACCAACAATCCAGGAGACGGTCACTCAGGAAGCCCTCAACCCAAAGGCACCATCAGAGAACGATGGTAACTCATTTCTTCCCCCTCCTGTCAAAAACATAATCCCTATGGTTTTTAGCATTTTTGAGAAGGAATTCACTCTGTCTACATCTATTTATAATAAAAAGTTATGTATTTCCGAGTTTTTCAAAAGAAGGAAGCATTCAATTTGGCTTGGTTTGGATGCTGGTCATTGGCTTCTCAATACGTTGTCTAAATTCACCTTGGATGGATCCATAGATTGTCCAGTCAAGATAGAACCTAAGCGATCCATCTTTCTTAGATTTAGACCTAGCCCTAAAGGATCTTTTCTTCAACTCATAGAAAGGAGACAAGATGGAAGGAGTATGATTTTCATCTCGGAAGGCCAACAGGGTAATGGTTTTACAACCTTTAAAGCTAGATTGGAGCTAGTCCTTAAACACCTTTCTAGGGCTATTCCCCCTCCTGAACCTTTCATAGACAGATCTTTAGTTTGCGGTTTTTCAATTCCAACTCCCACTGATACATCCATGTACATTTCCTCCACTTTATTCAATTTGGAAGTTTGTTCTGTCATGGAACCAATCATAAGGCCATTATCAGTTCCCAATCCCCCCTTTGCAGTCTCTCATGCCTCAATCCCTGAAATAAATCCCTCTACATGCTCCCTCCTTTCTGCAAAAGCCAACGCATTTGTACCTAAAACACATATCACACAACATCAGGTTCCCAATGTAAGCCTAGTATCTCGCCAACCAGCTCTCACTTTCTTGGGTTGTTCAACATCGGATACTGAAAGAGATAACTCTTGGAACATCTCCAAAGCCTATGGATCTGATTATGAGCAGCAACATTGTTCACAGAAAGGACACCTAAACCTTCCAATAGATGACACTTCTGAATGGGAGACTGAATCAGACGAAGAGGAGAATAAAGGGGATTGGCATGCAAAAAAAGAGTCTGTCAAGAAAAGAAACCAAGCAAGATTTGAAAAGCTCATAAGCCACATTCAAGGAGGGGTCATAAACAAACCAAGAAGAAGTAAGAGACTCGCTCAACTAAGGAACCAACTCATTGATGAAAGAAACCTAGAGTCAATCAACTTGGGGTAATTGGCTACCATCAGACCAATTTAGTGATTCATGCTCTTCTCCAGGAATTATTTAACTCTGAATTTTTTAGTGTCTCAGTCTGCAATTTTTAAGTATTTGGTTCAATTTAATGATTCTTTTTCTTCCTTATGGTTCAACTGCAATTATGTTCTAAAAAACTATATGTATTGGAAAGCCATATGCATCACAATCCAGCCCTGTAATTGAATGGGAGTTAGCATCCAGAGACTTGGACAGAATCTGTTACAGCCTGGAAGCCTTTGTCTGCATCTTTTGTACAGGAATGCAGCGAGCTAGTAATGATAAGGCATACTTGTGGGGTCTCGGTTTTAAGCATTGATTGGAGGGGTCTATGTAAGAACTTGATTTGGACTTACACATAAGGCCAAGGAGATTGTTTCTACATTACAAGGCCAGCAGGATAGCCAAGAGAATTTTCTTCTTATGGGTTGCCATTGTCCTGCATAGCTTTTTTCTTCTTTTCGCATATAGTTGGTTGTTTGTAATCCTACATTTATGTTGTTTTTTTTTTGGCGCTTCTGTTTGGGTCTTGCCAGCCCCCCCCTTTTGTACCTTTTATTTTTCCTTATTAATAAAATTTCTCTCTTTAAATGCTGAGTTTGATATATATATATATATATATATATATATATATATATATATATATATATGGCGTTTCTAGAGAGAAGGATGAGCTGCGACCGGCGACGTTATGACGATTTCAATCTCCGGAATCCCTACATCGGCATCTATGGTGGTCACCGGAACTCTTTTCATCCAAGCCGGCGCCCTCCTCTCATTTCATCTAGAAGGGAGAGCTCTTCTTTTTACTTCAGGGACAGAACTCATCACAGAAAGACCACTATCCATAGGAAATGGCGGAGAAGCTGGCCATTCAGATCCCCACAATCGCGAGCCTGGGCCGATTCTTATGTGTTCAGCAGATCTCGCCTTGCCCAGCACGAAATCAAACACCAATCCCTCGGCACAGAACCAAGCAAGAACTCTAGCTTCACCTTCAAAACCCAAAACAAGGTATTTGAGCTTTTCCACTCTCATTAGAACAAAAACTTCTGCTTATCTGAGTGCGGCAAAAAGAGATATCACCTTTGGTTTGACCTGGAAACAATTAGATGGATTTTAGAATCTCTTCCCAGGATTTCTGTCAATAGATCTTGGGCACTTTTCTCCTTTGCTGCTAACCGCACCATTGAACTCTCTTCTGGCTCAAATCCTAGAGGGGAATTCATTAAAATTCAGGAGAAGAGAAGGGAAGGGAAGAGATTCATATTACTCCCATCTGGTCCTAGAAATGATGATGTAAATTTATTCTTCAAGGCACTGTCTTTCTTCGTTGAGAAGGTCACCAACGCTACAACATCTACAACGTCTTCCTTGAGAAGGTCAACGACTCCTTTTACAGCTCCTCAGGTTTCTGATCCACCTATGAAACTGTTGTGTGATACTCCCTCTGTTCACCCCCCACCAATCCACTCTCAATCCACAGCTGTGGAAACAGAAACACCAGGATTACAATCTCAGACTGGAGAGGGGGACCTTAGCGAGGAGAACCCAAGCTTAGGCCGTGTGGAAGACCGTGGTCTGGATCTTGAAGCCTCAGGGAACAACCCTCTGAATCCAGGATTTAACTCCAACCCTCTGAAGTCATCAGGGATGATGATAATCCTAAAGAGGCTGATATTCATCACAAGGCAGACATGGGCAAGCAGATTGAGCCTTTTCAGGGCTTACAGCCTTATACAATCCTCTACCCTCCTTTGCAAAGATCAAGTCTCTCCCCTTTGGCCACCGAATTCATTCCCACCATGCCCAATTCCTTTGCTGTGCTATTCAACCCGGGACATGCTTCTGAAACCTCCCTAGATCCTATCCCATTAGAAGATCCATTGGTAAATTTATATGAAAGGAATATGGCACTCTACAACAATGCCATTGAGGATTTGCCGCATGAAAGAGATGAGCCTCTACTTTACACACACTCGGATGGAGAAGACAAAGTCTTTATAGATTATAAACTTAAACCCCTCCAAATTGACACTTCTACGTGCTCTAAGACTCCATTATTGCTGGGAAGGGTGTTTAAAGGTCGGAAAACCTACTCTCCTTCTCAAGTGGTCACAAGAAGTAAGGCGAGACTTCTTGCTGAAGGTCGAAAAAAGTCTCCTTTGGGCTGGTTTGAGGACCCAGATGAACCAGCAAATACCTTCGCAAATGAAATTATACAAGCTTTCAAACAAAGCTGTCCGGTAAAAAAGGAGGTTACCCCCAAACAACCCCTTACCCGTAGCCAGAAAAAGAAAGCCAAAAAGAAGTTAAAGCTTGAAAAGGTAGTGGAACAAAATTGGGACGATTATGAAGATGACTATCTCTAAAACTTATCTACAGAAGGGTTTATTTCTTGCTTCTCTCATTTTGTGATTATGCAGAGGTATGATTTTAGAGGTATGAATCTCAGTGCAGGTAATTGCTACCTATGGTGATTTAAAGTTTGTTTCTTTTGAGGCTTAGTAACAGTCGTCTTC